AATGACTGCTGTAGCTGAACCCCGGACAGTGGTGTATGAGGGTGATTTGTTAGTTAATATCAGGAAGAAAATGCTCACATTTGTAGCAGTAAATCTCAGTAGCCCATTTTGGTGCCTCTAATTTATTCCTGCATCTGTTTTCAAATTCACTCTTATTTATAGATTATTTTATTTTTTCCTAAATTACAGCAACTAGTTATTTAAGGACCTACCTTTGTTTCTATTTTACAGAGAACAGATTTTAAGGGGACATTTGTAACCACAGCCATTTAAATTCTGCTTTCCTGGAAATGCTTATACAGGCTGATAGCCTAGAAGTGAATTATTTGTTTCAAATTGCATTGGCTATGCTCTCTATTTAAAAAAATACCATACTGAACAAAAAAGGGGTTCATTTTCTTTAGAAACTGTGCCAAACTAACCTAGATGAGACTTTAAAAGATGTTTCTTTGAGTTACTGTGATTGGCCCACGAGTGTTGGAAATGCAGTAACTTTGCATTTTGATAAAGGCAAGGTAAGCTGAGGGGTTAAATGTAGTGTAGGGTGCACACCAGTGTGTGCTATACGTGCTGTGTGCTGTATGTTCTGTGTATATCTACAACGGAGAAACATTGTAAATTATCAAAAGAAGCATGTCCAGCAGATCGAAGGAGGTGATCCTGCCCCTCTACTCTGCTCTCCTGAGACCTCACTTGGAGTATTGTGTGCACTTCTGGTGTCCTCAACTGTAAAAAGCACATGGGGCTGTTGGAGCAAGTCCAGAGGAGGGCCACGAGGATGATAAGAGGGCTGGAGCACCTCCCTTATGAAGACAGTTGGACTGAGAAAGTTGGGGCTCTTCAGCCTGGAGAAGACTGCGTGGAGACCTCATAGCAGCCTTCCAGTATCTGAATGGGGCCTACAAGGATGCTGGAGAGGGACTCTTCATCAGGGACTGTAGTGATAGGACAAGAGGTAATGGGTTCAAACTTAAACAGGGGAAGTTCAGGTTGGGTATAAGGAAGAAGTTCTTTACAGTGAGGGTGATGAGGCTCTGGAATGGGTTGCCCAAGGAAGTTGTGAATGCTCCAACCCTGGTGGTGTTCAAGGCCACGTTGGATGGAGTCTTGGGTGACATGGTTTACTGGGAGGTGTCCCTGCCCATGCAGGGGGGTTGCAACTAGATGATCTTAAGGTCCTTTCCAACCCAAACCATTCTATGATTTTATCCTATTTTATAGATATTCTAGATAATCTGTCCATTCAGTGTGTGAAATTCTGTCATCAGTTTTATTCCTTTACCCAGTGAAGATAAAGTTTTTAACAGCAGCTGCTATCTGGTGGTTTATGAGGATGATTGAATGTCTGGACAACTTATGTTTAAACATAGCTTATAGTACGGAACAGTAGCGTTTTATAAATACTATTACTAATCTTCTGTTCCTTCTTTGTTGAACTTGCAATGGAGCTGTGTACAAGTCCATTTGAATTTGACATTTCTACTGTCCTGTCTGAGGACTTAAAAGACACAGTAATATTGTCCTTATTCTAGTTGATGGCAAAATAATATTCCTTGATCGTATTGGGAGTAGACTAAATACCTGCTTGGAAATACAACCTCTAAGGAGGTCATAGTAAACGAAATTGCAGTAGAGTTTTGAATGGTAAGATAGCATTTAAGTCCTTTTACATATATATGTGTGTGTGTGTGTGTGTATTTTTTTTTAATGCAGATGGGACAAAATAAACTTGGATATCTCAGGCTCGAGAAGAGAATGCAAACAGGATTTCAAATATATTTGAACTAGAGCTTTTAGTCAGTTGATAAGATACAGTTGAAAGATTTGGATCACTTGAAGAAGGATTTAATAGAGCTTTTGTATGTAAGGGGGGAAAAAATGGGTTAAGAAAACATATAGACCCTAGTCTTATGCTTTGTACAAATCAACTCTTCTGCTGAAGCCAACAGAAGTTCTGCTTGGCTCTGTATGTAGACCATACATGAAGACCATACATGATAGTTTGACATATTGTACAGGCTTTACTTTGTATGTGTATATATTGTAGAAATTATATTTCTGTTCAAAGAATAATCCAGTCAGACTGACTCAGAGGCTGACTCTGCAGTTCATGCACTCATTTTCTAGAAAAGCCTGCCTCTGAGATAACAGCCCATTTTCTAGCAGCTAACTCTCTGTGTGTTAAATGGTCTCTAAGTGTACAGGAATAAGGTCTATTTGTGAGCATAATTAAGTGCATATTGTCCGAGGCCAGCACACATGATTCTTATAAGCGAAACATGGAAGAAAAAGCCACACGGGCAACTTCAGTCCTGAGGCTATTGTAACAAATTTTACAGTGTCAAGAGAGAAGATTTTAATCCTTTATGCAGTTCGTTTGCCAGTATTAGCATTTGGCCCTGTGGAGCTAAATGTTCCATGCTGCTTTCTTCCCCTTCATATTTCAATAACAATTTTCACAAAAAACATGTTTCCCATGTCAGAGCATTACAGGGAACGTACTGGTTATTCTCAGTCTGAAAGCGTGCCTGGAAATTTAGACATTTTCAAGCAATTTTTCTAACACTGTTTGACTCTGCTGTATTTTTAAAAGTCGTGTTTGACAGACTGGAGGGTTACACTACATATTTTATTTGAATAGGTGGCATCAGGGCAATGTAGACTTAATTTTTCCTTTAATTAAAAGCAGGCTTTTACAAAACCTAACATTGATTTTATTTGTCTATTACTATCTAGCTATAAAGATATCTATTGACATATTGATACAGGTATTTATTGATGGGTAGATCAATATATCATTAAAAATAGTTTGTTTTGCAAGCAGTAGCATACTCACTGGGATATGCAACCTAGATATTGCAGGACTTGGTGCAGGAGAACCACATCAAAAAAAAGATTCAGCATCTCCCTACAAAGATAACTTGACAAGCCTTTTATCTTCATTGAAAGTGATGATGAAGAAGGTAACAAGCAGCATAAAAGATGAATACCTAATAAGATTGTTTTGAAATGTTCTGAATTTTAGAAACTTGTGAGATGCTGGTTTTTTTTTTTTTTTTTTTTTGGCCAATTACCAGCAATATTTGTTACTTTTCTGAAAAAGGATACTTGTGGTTATTGAAAATGTATTGCCTTCAACCTGAAGCCCAGAAGCTGGGCTCTATTCACAGCATATACAGAGGGAACACTTTATCCTAAGCCATAACATTTTGATACCCCTCTGTGGAAACACTTGCCTTCCCATATTTATCTGCATGAAGGAATTCAGAAGTGTTTCCATCAGACAGGGCCTTAGCAGCATCTGCATGCTTGGGGGATCCACCGTGGCATGTTCCAAATCTCTGTATCTCAACAAGAAAAATGCACTGGCATTAGAAGGTAGTTCTCTGCATTCATGAACTCCCATGCTATCCTTTGGCTACAAAGTCACTCTTCACATGTGCCTGAATGTGGAACTCCATTCCTCACACTGTAAATATTCCCATTCAGATCAATAAGTGTTTGCGAAGTAAAACGTTAGTCACAGTAAGAGCCATATGATACGAGACAACAGGTCTGGCACTAAAATATGTTTTCATATTTTTAGGGGAATATATTCTCACATGTGGGTTTCTTGGTTTTGCCTGCACCTGTTGCGTGCTCAGAATATTCCTGCAAAATAAGTAATTGCACTTTTCAGTATTAGATATTCATATGTAAATACATATTACTCTTTAGTGTCCCATTACACGTGTAAATGCAGGTTAACTGCAGGTGTAGCTTTGCTAGCGGTAAATTGAGTACTTCAAAATTTACTCTTAGGTGTGCTCTGGGGAATTATGGTACAAGCCTGTGCTGTTTCTTCATTCAAGCACTCAAGTCTGTTAGAAACCCAGTATAAACACTTGACTGTGCTTTATTTCACATGGCAATCCTTCAGAACTGCAGACCTAATCATTATTAATTCATTTGATAATTATTGATTGCATTAATGTTAGTAATGATAAACACCTTTGGTATTAATATGGATGTCGTTGGTATTGTACTTCAGACCATTTGCTGTATCTCAACCCTCATTAACAGGACCATAAGTTACAGGGTGTTTTTTTTGCATAAACAACTCCATGCCTTTCTTACAGAAGTGAGGAGAGTATACCTATAGAAATTGTTCACTGAATTTTGAAAACATTTTGCTATTCATAAGACTAGCTTTGGGGTTTTTTTCATTTATTTTAAGAAAAAGAATAAGTTAGAAAAGATTATCAAATATATCCCCTAAAACCCAAAAGCAACTCAGTTTTTCTTGGACAAGTTAATGTCTGTAATCATATTCTGTTGTCTTCAAAAGTTGACAGCAAGCCTGAGCTCTTATTTCTTCAAGTTTTCTCTGTATAATGCAAAGATCCTATTCATGGAGCAGTTGTGCTAGACTTTGAGGAGTGCTTATCTCCTTGGGTGGTCATGCTACTTCAGTAGCTGGAATCAGTTAATGTTCCTCAAAAGGCACACTGGTGGGTCTTGTTTTCAAGGGATAATTAATTTCTGGGCAAGATGGACAGGGAAGTCTTCCAGCTTTCACCACAAGACAGCTCAAACTTGATCCATTTTTCACTTGATTGAATCTATTGTGTTTCAATTCCCACTGTCTGTGTTTCAACAGTGAAATAGGCCCTATGCACTAAACACTCTCATCTCAAATATTGCTGTGTTTTCTTACAGCCTGTGACCTGATGAACCAAGGCATCCTGGCTCTTGTTAGCTCCATTGGTTGTACGTCAGCAGGATCCCTGCAGTCGCTGGCAGATGCCATGCACATCCCTCACCTCTTCATCCAGCGCTCAACAGCAGGAACGCCGAGAAGCGGTTGCGGGCTCACCAGGAGCAACCGCAACGATGACTACACACTGTCCGTCCGCCCCCCTGTCTACTTAAATGATGTCATCTTCAGGGTGGTCACAGAATATGCCTGGCAGAAATTCATTGTTTTTTATGATAACGACTATGGTATGTATTTATTTAGCAGGGTGACTTTTATTAAATCCATAATTCTGTTGAAAGCAGTCACATTACATTTTTATAGTCTTTCAATAGATTATGTTTTGCTTGTGAACATTTACGGTTCTGTCAGCATTTCACAGCACCTCAGAGAAATATATTTCTAAACTCCCTCAGCATTTACAGGTTTGCTTGATAATTTCTTTGTTAGAGTTAGCTGATAAATGGAGAACTTATCTGGCTTTCTATTCTGCCAGTGTTTATGAAGCATAAAAGTTTTTAGCAAGCTCTCTTGTTCTTTGGGTTGTAGAAATATGGCAATTCAAGTGGTAATGTGTGAGATTTTACATTCTGCAGAAGTGTTTATTGTACGATGAATCTTCTTGATGATGTATATTTGATAGCCAGAAGCTGAAGCAGGGGTGAATGTAGGTCAGAGGCCTCAGCAAGAATGAGCTGCTATTCATACATATAAAACTTGTAGAGAGTACTTAGTTTTGCAGAACAAAGAACTTGAAGAGGAGGGCCTGGAGAAGACAATGTTCCTTCTATTTTGAGTTTGTTCAGTGCTCCTGAAAAGTGCTGAGTTGATGGTTGTGTGATAGGGTGTGACACACATGGTGGCATTCACAAGGCTGTGCCATCCAGCTTGGTAACTCAGCCGAGTTCGGTACAGGTATTTTCTACGGCTGAGAGGAGAGCTGGACAGATTTCTCTAGTATAGGTGCATTATCTAACTAATGATCTTGTTTTCTATGGAAAATTGCTTTGAAACCAGACCTGATTTCTTCAGATACATCCATAGTTCATAAGTAATCATGACTGGTTTGGATGAACATTTTATAACTTATTTTCAAAGTTAAATCTTTAAGTTATGGAAAAATGCTCATTTCAGCGATTTGCTGTGTGTAATATCTGGTTCATTCAGGTCAGATGTTATTGATTTTTCTGTTTCCTGGCTACATAATAAATTCTTAAATTAGAATGATAGAAAATGATGAATAGGAAAATTTCTATTTATAACTAAGCAGCACCTAAAAGCACCAGCTATAGGATAAAGAACACACACCAGAAAAACCAGTCCAAAAAGCTTGCAGCAGAGTATTTTTATTCCTGTTTTATGACTTCGTGCATTTAAGTACAAGTGTACCTATGAAGACCCCAATCTTGCCAGCTAAAAGATACCATTTTGCATGTATTTTTGAGTTTAAACCCCCCCAATATAATTAATATTTTTTAATAATGATATCTGTAAACATTAGTTTTAAATTATCCAGATTTCATTATTAATTTGAGAATGCAGTTCAGACGTCATGTTGTTTTGTCCTTGATTTCTGGGTAAGAATCTCACTAGCATGTGACTTATGTAAGACATATGCCTGCCTGCAAAGAATATGTTTCAGACCAGTAGCTCATTCAGTGACGTATCATCTCCAGACATGACATGTGGCAGATACTAAGTCTTTCTACTAGCCTTTATGGTGTTCTGACTTCAGTAGTCTACAAGTAATGCCATACTGGTCAAAACAGATTGGTAATCTGAATTGGATCAGCGGTCAACATCATGTACATCAGGAAAAGGTGTCAAGAAATTTCTGTGTTTAGTAGATACTGAGCAGTCTGCCCCTTTCTAATCATTTCTGTGGTTTGGGTATTTTGGGTGGGGGGTTTGCGTTGTCTGGTTTTGTTTGTGTGTGCCTAGTTTGGGACTAATACCACAAAATAGCATTGAAATGCAACCTGAGTTTTAAATTAAGCTGCAACTTTTAATAGAGCTATTATGTTTCTTTAAATTGAGCTAAATCCTTGAGTTCAACAGCCATCCTAGGGCAGCAAGATGTTTCTATATTTTCTTTTTGCTTCCTACAGGTTTTTTATAAAATTTTGTTGCTGATTTACCTATCTTCTCCTCCACTTCTACTAAGGAACAAGAGAGCAGAAGTTATACTGTCTCTAGCTCAAGGCCTCTCTTGTTTCCATTACCCTGAGAATTGTTCTGTCTCTCCAATCCCTCGTCTTCCTCATAGTGGAATGCCTCTATAACTCCTCACTACCCTGTTTCAGGTGAAATCGTTAGGTTTGACATAGTATTTTGCCTGTTCTTAATTCTCTTAGCCAGTTTTTGATCTATGGCAGTAGTTTTCCTCATACCCATGATGTCATTATTTTCTTAGCAGTCCCTACAGAGCAATCTTGACAGGAGTTTGTTATAAATATTAACAAATTATGTCACTTTCTCCCTTTTTCCTCCTATTTTATTAATATACTCAAAGCGTTTCCAGTATGCTAGCAGTGCACATTTTTCCAGGTTCTGTATTGACTGAATAGGGTCTTGCACAGAGGGATGGGTGGAGAAATTCAGGGCATGAAAAGAGAAGCTGGAATGGATTGTTAATGGATTATAGAGTGGAGAAGTCTGAATTCAGTATTTGCCCTTCTTTGACCAGGAGATTGGACTATGCAGCATCCTGCATTCCCATCCAGCTGTAATTATTCTGTGATTCTGTGATGTTTGAGGAAGCCATTCATTTAGAAACAAAACAAGACCAAAACTAAACAAATAAAGAAACCAAACAAACCAGCATCAGTTTGAGTTTTGCGTAAGAGTTGGCCTGAGAACCCCAGAAGAGCTTGAGGAAGGGAACATTACTGTTAGCTTCTGTGCCTGTATTAGAAATCAAGACTGGGCATGCAGATGTGGGATGGAAGTCCAGGGGCAAGCCATCCTTTTCATCAGTGTCAGTGCAGGTAAGGGTGGTTGTAATTTCCTCTGGAAGATCTCAGCTTCATTCCTCAGCTTTCCTAAGAGGATCTGCTGCAGTGTGAGATTTATTTCTTTTCTCAGCTCACACAGACCTAAAATCAAAATCTAGTTGGAAGCTTTGCTCAGTTTAGCTACTTGCAGCAGTTAGTATTAGACATCTTAATGTAGAAGTTAATATTAAACATTAAAGTAGGTGGGAGACCAACGCTTGCATTAGAATTAAATTCATATTAGGGAGACATTATTAATATGTTCTACACAGTCCTCTGCAGAACTGATGCTTGTGCAAGCAGAGCAATTTCTTGCCCTGGTGGTCTGTTTTTGTATGTGTGTGTGCTTTCCTTCTTAAGGTGTGTATTATAACATTAAGTTATAATACACACCATTTACATAGTAGTAAATGGCACTTCAGAAGTAATGGGAATATAGATTCTGATATGTGTTAATCCGTATTTTTTCCCCATGTTGTAATTTTTTTTGTAGGTTAGAAAACATGAAAATGCTATTAGACTGGTTCCAAACCAGCAGAATTCTAATACTCCTTTCTGAGAAATTATGTTGTATAAGGATTTAATGTAACAATTTATAACAAAATTCTTCAGATGTATAACTGAAATTATTTCCACTAATAATTTCATCTGTGAAAGAAAAATGTCTTTCATATTAAGAAAAATAAATCCTTCAGTAGAATTGGGTTCATATCCAAAGTAAATACTGTGCTAAACCAGATTCCTTGATCCTTTAAAAGAGGCTGCAACCATTTATGTATCAATTTATCAGTATCACAGTTTTATTAGTGGAATTAATTTTGATTTTTATCTTGCAGTCTATCATAGATTCCTTGTCATTATCAGAGAGTTGAAGAATTGTTTATGATTGGAAATGTGTCTTTCTGCAGGGCTGAGAGTTATCTCCTCAATGCTATCCTTTTTAAAACTCACAAATTCTTTCTTCAATATAAATAAACAAGTATATTAAATTTTAACATTTTAACACTTTTTCCATCTAAATGCTAGAAGGTTCAAGCCTGCTTATAGGTTCTCTACCAACAAAGAAAGTTATAATCTTTGAAGGAAGCAATTCTTTTATTAAGTCATAACCAGCTGGGTATTGAAGAAGTAATGTAGAAATAATCGACATCTGTGGTCAATTGATGGGTTTTTTCCAAGTAAAATTTTAGGTAGCAGGACTATTCTAACACAAAACAAAACAAAAGGCACCTTGATTATAATCAAATAAGTGTTTTGTTGCTGTTGACTTAATTAAGCTGAGTAACTAGTGAAATATTTCAGTAAAACCATAGTCTTATGTCAGTGGTAGAGCCTTGCCTGTAATAAATATGAGGCTAAAAAACAGTGACATTGAATGAGTGAGAAGGTGAGAAAAGGGAACACTAACTTGTTTATTTCATTTACTACAATTGCATCTTTACCTTTAGTGTATAAATGCAGATGAACTTGTGAAAATCAAATGAGTTGAGGTGTCTCTTCCCCCCATTCTTGTTCTCTGCTGGGGTGATCTAGATAAAACTCCCAGTGAAAATATTGCAGTCAGTTTTCTTGTATTCAGTATGTTTTGTTCCTTGAGGTAAAACAAATTAAAGACCTGCCTAGGACATGAAATCTGATTTTGTTTAAGAAAATTTCATATGAAGATATTAAAAGCATTCAAGGACAATTCTGTGCTTCTTCAAATGCCATTAAAAGCAGTCTTCTTGCAGAGTTAAAGAGTAGGTGGCATGAAATGCAGCAAAATTATGCAGTAAATTGATGCCTTTCTCAACCTGCTATTAAAATTACTATCCATACAATATCTACAAGCCACATTTACTTCATTTCATCCACCAAATCAGCTCTTACTCTTTTCATTCTTGACATCTCAGCTCAAACCATATGATCACTGTGTTGCAGAGGGTGGCTCTGCATCTCCTGCTTAAAAGAGGGTGTAGAGACTGGGCAGTCCCTCCACTGAGTCTCTGAACTCTTCCTTAGGACCATCAGCAGTCTCTTCAGTGAAGGCATTTTCAGGCTGGACTCTATAAGTATATAACTTATACCTTTGGAAATTGCAGAGTTTAAATTTGTAAAAAGAGCCACTGACACCTGTAAACATTGTGAGCAAGCTTTGCCAAGTACTACTTCTTTACTTTATGATTTCCAGTTCAAAGCAATCAAAGCAGCATTTGAAAGAGCCTCATCCATGGGCTGGCATATGTCAAAGGGGAGTCCCCAAACAGTAGCAAGAA